GGTGTTACACAGATGCTGTACAGGTGTTACACGGATGTTGTACAGGTGTTACACAGATAATGTACAGGTGTTACACAGATGTTATACAGGTGTAGTACAGGTGTTACACAGATGTTATATAGGCGTTACACAGATGTTGTACAGGTGTTACATAGATGTTATACAGGTGTCATACAGATGTTGTACAGGTGTTACACAGATGTTGCACATATGTTACACAGATGTTACACAGGTGTTACACAGATGTTATACAGGTGCTACACAGAGGTTGTACAGGTGTTACACAGATGTTATACAGGTGTTACACAGATGTTATACAGATGTTACACAGGTGTTACACAGGTGGTACACAGATGCTGTACAGGTGTTACACAGATGTTGTACAGGTGTTACACGGATGTTGTACAGGTGTTACACAGATGCTGTACAGGTGTTACACGGATGTTGTACAGGTGTTACACAGAGGCTGTACAGGTGTTACACAGATGTTATACAGGTGTAGTACAGGTGTTACACAGATGTTATATAGGCGTTACACAGATGTTGTACAGGTGTTACATAGATGTTGCACATATGTTACACAGATGTTACACAGGTGTTACACAGATGTTATACAGGTGCTACACAGAGGTTGTACAGGTGTTACACAGATGTTATACAGGTGTTACACAGATGTTATACAGATGTTACACAGGTGTTACACAGGTGGTACACAGATGCTGTACAGGTGTTACACAGATGTTGTACAGGTGTTACACAGATGTTGTACAGGTGTTACACGGATGTTGTACAGGTGTTACACAGATGCTGTACAGGTGTTACACGGATGTTGTACAGGTGTTACACAGAGGCTGTACAGGTGTTACACAGATGTTATACAGGTGTAGTACAGGTGTTACACAGATGTTATATAGGCGTTACACAGATGTTGTACAGGTGTTACATAGATGTTATACAGGTGTCATACAGATGTTGTACAGGTGTTACACAGATGCTGTACAGGTGTTACACGGATGTTATACAGTTGTTGTACAGGTGTTACACAGATGTTATACAGGTGTTACACAGATGTTGCACATATGTTACACAGATGTTACACAGGTGTTACACAGATGTTATACAGGTGCTACACAGAGGTTGTACAGGTGTTACACAGATGTTATACAGGTGTTACACAGATGTTATACAGATGTTACACAGGTGGTACACAGATGCTGTACAGGTGTTACACAGATGTTGTACAGGTGTTACACAGATGTTGTACAGGTGTTACACGGATGTTGTACAGGTGTTACACAGATGCTGTACAGGTGTTACACGGATGTTGTACAGGTGTTACACAGAGGCTGTACAGGTGTTACACAGATGTTATACAGGCGTTACACAGATGTTATACAGGTGTAGTACAGGTGTTACACAGATGTTATACAGGCGTTACACAGATGTTGTACAGGTGTTACATAGATGTTATACAGGTGTTATACAGGTGTCATACATATGTTGTACAGGTGTTATACAGATGTTATACAGGTGTTACACAGATGTTACACAGGTGTTACACAGGTGTTACACAGATGTTATACAGGTGCTACACAGAGGTTGTACAGGTGTTACACAGATGTTATACAGGTGTTACACAGATGTTACACAGATGTTACACAGGTGTTACACAGATGTTATACAGGTGCTACACAGAGGTTGTACAGGTGTTACACAGATGTTGTACAGGTGTTATACAGCTGTCATGTGTCTCCATAGAAACGGTGATGGCTTCATAGACCGTGAGGAGTTCGGGGAGATCTTGCACATGACCGGAGAGGCCGTGGCCGAGGAGGACATCGACGAGATGTTCGGAGAGTCAGACAACAACAAGGACGGGAAGATAGACTTTGATGGTGAGAGAGAGGGGAGAGGGGGAGGAGAGGGGGAGGAGAGGGGGAGAGGGGGAGGAGAGGGGGAGGACAGGGGGGAGACCTGACATCAGACTGGGTGGTGACATCACAGACTAGCTGATGACATCACAGGCAGGTCATTGACTGGTTGATGACATCGCAGAAAGGTTGATGACATAATTGACGGGTTGATAACATCACAGACAGGCTGATGACATCACAGACAGGCTGATGACATCACAGACATGCTGATGACATCACAGATAGGCTGATGACGTCATATTTCTATGTTTTGTGCAGAGTTCCTGAAGATGATGGAGAACGTGCAGTAACATTCCTGAAGATCTGAGGAGGAACCGGGACTGAAGCACAAGACCCAAGAACATGGGAGAACATGGGAGAACATGGGAGAACATGGGAGAACATGGGAGAACATGGGAGAACATGGGAGAACATGGGAGAACACGGGAGAACGAGAAATGGGAGAGCACACATGGGCATTGATGTCCCATGTTCACCATGTATGACTGTATGACTGGTCTGTTTTCAAACTGCTACATGTGTCCCTGTAACGTCACATGTGTCCCTGTGACGTCACATACACATGTGACGTCACATGTGTCAGTGTGACGTCACATGTGTCCCTGTGACGTCACATATGTCATGCTGCCTCAGCTGCTTGCAGCACACAGTGTTTGATGATGAGTAATAAACCATGCATCTCCCTCTGGTGGTGACGAGGGGAACTACAGCCTGATTCTTTATTCTTCATGTTTATCATGGGCAGAGTGGCTGAGTAGTTAGCACTCTGGCTTCTCAGCAAGGAGGACCTGGATTTGAACTGTGGACGGTACAAAGTCTTGGCTTTGCATGTTCTCCTTGTGTCTGTGTTGGTTCCGGTTTCCCCTACCTCTAAAAAATGTTGATCCTCCAGCTCTGGTTCTGAACAGAAGCGGCTGCAACAAGGGTTCCCCCTACTTTGTGTGTGTGTGTGTGTGTGTGTGTGTGCGTGTGTGTGTGTGTGTGTGTGTGTGTGTGTGTGTGTGTGTGTGTGTGTGTGTGTGTCATTTGTCGCCTTCACAAAACTGGGGTCTGTAACTTTAAAGCTGGGGTCTGTAACTTTCAGACTAACAGAACTCTGTATTAAACCTATGTTTCTAGTTGTGGCTCTAAAACAGTGAACCCCCTCTCTTGGCCAATCAGCTGTGGGCTCATGGAGGCTGATCTGTCTTACTCTAAACAGACCCTTCTTATGAGGAGGACGCTCTGCTGGTGGATCTGTAGAAGTATATATATCTCTGGTCCTTTTTAAGCCCTGCTGTTGGAGCCGGGTCCTCAGCTGCTGCTGCTGCTGCTGTCAATCATAGCTCCTGCTTCAAGACAGAAATAAACTCTGCTCCAGAGCGCTTCCCCAAAGCCCTGTTGGAAACACCCCAAAAACTCAAAATCATAATTTTTGATTAAAAAACTTCACAAACAGACTTCTCATCTTTCTTAAAGGAATCACAGTTTTCCCACAGTATCTGTGGTAATTTTGGCAACTGTGGTAACTTTGGTTACTATGATAACTGTGGTAACAATGGTAAATGTGGTAACTATGGTAACTGAGGCAACTGTAGGGTCCATGGTAACTGTGGTACCTATGGTAACTATGGTAGCTGTGGTATCTATGGTAACTGTGGTAACTGTAGTAACTATGATAACTGTGGTACTATGGTAACTGTGGTTGCTATGATAACTGTGGTACTATGGTAACTTTGGTTGCTTTGATAACTGTGGTATCCATGGTAACTGGTAATTGTAGTAGCTGTGGTACATATGGTAACTGTGGAAACTATTAACTGTGGTAACTGTGGAAACTGTGTGAACTGTGGTAACTATAGTAACTACGGTAACTATGGTGGGTGTCAAAAATCAGACTGTTTTCTCAGTTTGGAGATTTCTCGAACAATCTACATCAAACAAAAAATATCCCCCACAACTTCTGTTAGCACACAACAATGGTCTCTTATATACATTCATATATTTCTCTCTGGTCTCTCTCTGGTCTCTCTCTGGTCTCTCTCTAGAAGGGGGAGGGGGTGAGGATGAGGGAGGTTGGAACAAATTCCTACTTTGGGGAGGAGCCTCTGTCCATAAAAGGCACAGACGTCACCACCTCAACAAAACAGTGTGTGTGTGTGTGTGTGTGTCTGTGTGTGTGTGTTCAACAACCAATCAGAGCAACATTCCCACACTCTTCATGTTGGTGTCATTCACGTTTGATTAAACATATGGTGTGTGTGTGTGTGTGTGTGTGTGTGTGTGTGTGTGTGTGTGTGTGTGTGTGTGTGTGTGTGTGTGTGTGTGTGTGTGTGTGTATGTGTGTGTGTGTGTGAGCAGGGCTGATGAAGCCTCAGACCGTGATCTGCAGGCCTCATCAGAGACCAGCAACACTAGAGACCAGCAACATGAGAGACCAGCAACACCAGAGACCAGCAACATCAGAAACCAGCAACATCAGAGACCAGCAACATCAGAAACCAGCAACATCATAGACCAGCAACATCAGAAACCAGCAACACCAGAGACCAGCAACATCAGAGACCAACAACACCAGAGACAGACCAGCAACATGAGAGACCAGCAACACCAGAGACCAGCAACATCAGAGACCAGCAACACCAGAGACAGACCAGCAACATGAGAGACCAGCAACACCAGAGACCAGCAACACCAGAGACCAGCAACATCAGAGACCAGCAACACCAGAGACCAGCAACGAGACCTCTGGTGTCAGTCAGAACATGTGACTGCTGCTTACATTGCTGTTGCTCACCCGTTTTGCCCCAAACAGGTGCCCTGCCCTGTTTTGTGCAGGTTTGGGGGCCAAACCTGCACCCAGGCTCCTGTGGGGTCCCTCAGGGGCCAAAACTGAGACCCACAGGATTTAGCATGTTCTCTTTGCACACGACACAAACAACAACAATAACAATAGTAGTAGTCATAATAATACAATGGTCTCTCTCTGGTCTCTCTGGTCTCTCTCTCTGGTCTCTCTCTCTGGTCTCTCTCTGATCTCTCTCTGGTCTCTCTCTGGTCTCTCTCTGGTCTCTCTCTGATCTCTCTCTGGTCTCTCTCTGATCTCGCTCTCTGATCTCTCTCTGGTCTCTTTCTGGTCTCTCTCTATGGTCTCTATCTGGCCTCTCTCTGGTCTCTCTTCCGGTCCTTCTCAGGTCTCTCTGGCCTCTCTCTGGTCTATCTCTGGTCTCTCTCTGGTCTGTCGCTGAACTCTATCTGGCCTCCATCTGGTCTCTCTCTGATCTCTATCTGACTTCTCTCTGGTTTCTCTCTCTCTGGTCTCTCTCTGGTCTCTCTCTGGTCTCTCTCTGGTCTCTCTCTCTTGTCTCTATCTGGTCTCTCTCTGGTCTCTCTCTATGGTCTCTATCTGGCCTCTCTCTGGTCTCTCTCTGGTCTCTCTTTCCGGTCCTTCTCAGGTCTCTCTGGTCTCTCTCTCTGGTCTCTATCTGGTCTCTCTCTGGTCTCTCTCTATGGTCTCTATCTGACTTCTCTCTGGTCTCTCTCTGGTCACTCTCTGGTCTCTCTCTGGTCTCTCTTTCCGGTCCTTCTCAGGTCTCTCTGGCCTCTCTCTGGTCTATCTCTGGTCTCTCTCTCTGGTCTTTTGCCGATCTCTATCTGGCCTCCCTCTGGTCTCTCTCTGGTCTCTCTCTGGTCTCTCTCTGGTCTCTCTCTGGTGCCTCTCTCTGGTCTCTATCTGGTCTCTCTCTCTGGTCTCTCTCCGGTCTCTCTCTCTGGTCTCGCTCTCTGGTCTCTCTGGTCTCTCTCTCTGGTCTCTCTCTCTGGTCTCTCTCCGGTCTCTCTCTCTGGTCTCGCTCTCTGGTCTCTCTGGTCTCTCTCTCTGGTCTCTCTCTGGTTTCTCTGGTCTGGGGAGGACGGATCCAAAGAGAATCCTACATATGTAGTGAGGGGCGTGGCCTGTGCGTAATCTTTAAAACGTCACCGCCGCGTGCCCGTGCGTCTAGTCCCTGTGTCTCTGTGTCCCTGCGCGTGGACAGATCCTCTCCGGGAGTTTAGGAGAAAGTGACTCCGCAAACATGGTAAGAACACACACCAGAACTCACAAGACCAGGAGTCCAGGGAGGACCAGGGGAGGACCAGGGCGCCTTATGGCACACTATTACGCACGGTGGCACAGTATTACGCACGGTGGCACAGTATTACGCACGGTGGCACAGTGTTAACGCAGAGCCACAGTTATAGGTTTAATCAGAGACATGTCAGTGCAGGACACTTCGGGCCTGTGCCAATTCTTCTCATGTGGATTATTCACTTAGAAGTGTTTACGCACGAACCAAAACGTCCGTGAGGCTTCACACACGGACTCTGGTGAGATGTGGATGTGAGAGGACACAGAGGACGGAGAGAGAGGACTGAGAGAGAGGATGAGTCATATTTGTTCAGTTGGCTTCATGATTTCGCAAAAGAAGTTTCCATTGGGAATTTATTGTTTAATCCTTCGTCACATTCTGGTTTTATTATTTAATCCTCCTGCACACGGGCCTCAGCACAGCTTGGGCCGGGGACCAGGGGCCAGGGTCCGGGGGTAGGACAGAGGGGACCGGGACAGGTGCGGGGGGGTGGGTGGTGGCTTCCCGGGTTGGGTTCCTTTGCCCAAATAAGCGCGCACGTCTTGAGTGTTGGGACGTAAATAGTTTCGCTGCTGAGACCTGAGATGTGCGTGAGCCCAGAGCGTCACCAGGAGCCTTCTAAGGCAAAGGCTGCTCTCCCAGTGAGGGACACCAGAGGGAAAAGGCAAAAGTCTCTGAGGAAAACCCCCAACACAAAGATTCTAACCATAGACTCTAACAATAAACTCTAACCACAGACTTAAACCATGTGAGCAGATGGTGCTGCAGTCATTGATGGTATTGATGGTATTTGAACTGAACAGTGTCATTGATGGTATTGATGGTATTTGAACTGAACAGTTTGAACTCAACCATTTGTTAAAGGCTTATAATAAACAAAATAAACAAATATTTGTGTTATTAGTTCTCCTTCATGAACATTTTTAAAAGATACAATAATATTGCTTTCTTCAAGAAGTGAACATTAAAGGGTTAGAATGGTAACAACAGACTAACTTTAAAGCTCAGGACAGAAAAAAAAAAAAACAGTTTTAGAATCATCTGCTCCTGGTTCGACTATGTGGCCTCTGACTAAAGGTTTGGACACCCCTGGTCTGTAGCTCAGCCCTGACTCTGTACAGTGCGTGATCCTCTCTCCTCTCTTCTCTCCGCTCTATTCTCTCTCCTCTCTCCTCTTCAGTCTCTGCCTCTGACCCCATGACGTCAGTATTTGACCCTGTGTTTCCTCCTCAGACTGACGCACAACAAGAGGCCCGCTCCTACCTGAGCGAGGAGATGTTGGCCGGTGAGTGCAGTGACGCGCTGTGACCACCCGGGGGCGCCACCAGCCTGAGCTCCCACCTCCACACAGCGAACCCTCACCCTGACTGTGGACCTCAGACATGACGAGGCTATATAGAACAAAGTACTAGTGACAGAGAGCTGTTTTGTAAAGAGGAATGGGCAAAAGGTTCAGTCTCTAGATGTGCAGAGTGTAGAGTCAGACTCCTCACTAACGTTGAACCCTCGAGCAAGACACACTTTCATCTACTGAAAAGAAAGAACAGATGGGCATAAATCCACCTGCTCTACTCTACTCTACTCTACTCTGTTCTACTCTACTCTGCTCTACTCTACTCTACTCTACTCTGTTCTACTCTACTCTGCTCTACTCTACTCTACTCTGCTCTACTCTGTTCTAATCTACTCCGCTCTACTCTACTCTACTCTGGTCTACTCTGCTCTACTCTACTCTACTCTACTCTACTCTACTCTGCTCTACTCTACTCTACTCTGCTCTACTCTACTCTACTCTGCTCTACTCTACTCTACTCTGCTCTACTCTACTCTACTCTACTCTTCTCTGTTCTACTCTACTCTGCTCTACTCTACTCTACTCTGCTCTACTCTGGTCTACTCTACTCAACTCTGGTCTACTCTACTCTACTCGGCTCTACTCTACTCTACTCTGCTCTACTCTGGTCTACTCTACTCTACTCTACTCTACTCTGGACTACTCTACTCTACTCTACTCTGCTCTACTCTACTCTACTCTGATCTACTCTAGTCTACTCTACTCTGCTCTACTCTACTCTGGTCTACTCTACTCTACTCTGCTCTACTCTACTCTGCTCTACTCTACTCTACTCTGATCTACTCTAGTCTACTCTACTCTGCTCTACTCTACTCTGGTCTACTCTACTCTACTCTGCTCTACTCTACTCTGGTCTACTCTACTCTACTCTACTCTGCTCTACTCTACTCTGGTCTACTCTACTCTGCTCTACTCTGTTCTAATCTACTCCGCTCTACTCTACTCTACTCTGGTCTACTCTGCTCTACTCTACTCTACTCTACTCTACTCTACTCTACTCTGCTCTACTCTACTCTGCTCTACTCTACTCTACTCTGCTCTACTCTACTCTACTCTGCTCTACTCTACTCTACTCTACTCTTCTCTGTTCTACTCTACTCTACTCTGCTCTACTCTACTCTACTCTACTCTTCTCCTGTTCTACTCTACTCTGCTCTACTCTACTCTACTCTGCTCTACTCTGGTCTACTCTACTCAACTCTGGTCTACTCTACTCTACTCGGCTCTACTCTACTCTACTCTACTCTGCTCTACTCTACTCTACTCTGCTCTACTCTACTCTACTCTACTCTGCTCTACTCTACTCTACTCTTCTCTGTTCTACTCTACTCTGCTCTACTCTACTCTACTCTGCTCTACTCTGGTCTACTCTACTCAACTCTGGTCTACTCTACTCTACTCTGCTCTACTCTGGTCTACTCTACTCTGCTCTACTCTACTCTGGACTACTCTACTCTACTCTACTCTACTCTGCTCTAATCTACTCTACTCTGATCTACTCTAGTCTACTCTACTCTGCTCTACTCTACTCTGGTCTACTCTACTCTGCTCTACTCTACTCTACTCTGATCTACTCTAGTCTACTCTACTCTGCTCTACTCTACTCTGGTCTACTCTACTCTACTCTGCTCTACTCTACTCTGGTCTACTCTACTCTACTCTACTCTGCTCTACTCAACTCTGGTCTACTCTACTCTACTCGGCTCTACTCTACTCTACTCTGCTCTACTCTGGTCTACTCTACTCTACTCTACTCTACTCTGGACTACTCTACTCTACTCTACTCTGCTCTACTCTACTCTACTCTGATCTACTCTAGTCTACTCTACTCTGCTCTACTCTACTCTGGTCTACTCTACTCTACTCTGCTCTACTCTACTCTGCTCTACTCTACTCTACTCTGATCTACTCTAGTCTACTCTACTCTGCTCTACTCTACTCTGGTCTACTCTACTCTACTCTGCTCTACTCTACTCTGGTCTACTCTACTCTACTCTGCTCTACTCTACTCTGGTCTACTCTACTCTACTCTGCTCTACTCTGTTCTAATCTACTCCGCTCTACTCTACTCTACTCTGGTCTACTCTGCTCTACTTTACTCTACTCTACTCTACTCTACTCTACTCTACTCTGCTCTACTCTACTCTGCTCTACTCTACTCTACTCTGCTCTACTCTACTCTACTCTGCTCTACTCTACTCTACTCTACTCTACTCTGCTCTACTCTACTCTACTCTGCTCTACTCTACTCTACTCTACTCTTCTCTGTTCTACTCTACTCTGCTCTACTCTACTCTACTCTGCTCTACTCTGGTCTACTCTACTCAACTCTGGTCTACTCTACTCTACTCGGCTCTACTCTACTCTACTCTACTCTGCTCTACTCTACTCTGCTCTACTCTACTCTACTCTGCTCTACTCTACTCTACTCTACTCTTCTCTGTTCTACTCTACTCTGCTCTACTCTACTCTACTCTGCTCTACTCTGGTCTACTCTACTCAACTCTGGTCTACTCTACTCTACTCTGCTCTACTCTGGTCTACTCTACTCTGGACTACTCTACTCTACTCTACTCTGCTCTAATCTACTCTACTCTGATCTACTCTAGTCTACTCTACTCTGCTCTACTCTACTCTGGTCTACTCTACTCTACTCTGCTCTACTCTACTCTGGTCTACTCTACTCTACTCTACTCTGCTCTACTCTACTCTGGTCTACTCTACTCTACTCTGCTCTACTCTACTCTACTCTGGTCTACTCTACTCTACTCTGCTCTACTCTACTCTGGTCTACTCTACTCTACTCTACTCTGCTCTACTCTACTCTACTCTACTCTACTCTGGTCTACTCTACTCTACTCTGCTCTACTCTACGCTGGTCTACTCTACTCTACTCTACTCTGGTCTACTCTACTCTACTCTGCTCTGCTCTACTCTACTCTACTCTACTCTACTCTACTCTGGTCTACTCTACTCTACTCTACTCTACTCTGGTCTTTTCTACCCTAATCTACTCTACTTTAGGCTACTCTACTCTACTCTACTCTACTCTAGTCTGCCCTGCTCTGCTCTGCTCTACTCTACTCTACTCTACTCTACTCTACTCTACTCTCTACCCTAATCTACTCTACTCTACTCTACTTTACTCTACTCTACTCTACTTTACTCTGCTCTACTCTACTCTACTTTACTCTACTCTGCTCTACTCTATTCTGCTCTACTCTACTCTACTCTACTCTACTCTACTCTACTCTACTCTACTCTCTCTATTCTAATCTAATCTGCCAGGTTGCGTTTCCATCACTTGTATAGTATCTGGCACTGTATCCAGACAACTAACCAGTATCCGGGGAATATCAGAGTAGAGCAGAGTAGAGTAGAGCAGAGTACAGCAGAATAGAGTTGAGTAGAGTAGAGTATATCAGAGTATATCAGAGTATATCAGAGTATATCAGAGTAGAGCAGAGTAGAGTAGAGTACCCCCCATCCCTCCCCCACAGCAGCCTCCACTGTCTCACCCCATTTCCAAACGTTGGGAACACATCACTCCTGGGTTGTAGACTTTAGTGAGAGTGTACCGTGAAACTTTTTCCCAGAGTTCTTAGCGTCTCTCTCCTGTATTTCCCAGAGTTCAAAGCGGCGTTTGACATGTTTGACACTGACGGTGGCGGTGACATCAGCACCAAGGAGCTGGGAACCGTCATGAGGATGTTGGGTCAGAACCCGACCAGAGAGGAGCTGGACGAGATCATAGAGGAGGTGGATGAGGACGGTGAGAAACACACACATACACACACACACACACACACACACAGGGTCCAGACTGGTCCAGGTCCAGGTCAGACTGGTCCAGACTGGTCCAGGTCCAGGTCAGACTGGTCCAGACTGGTCCAGGTCCAGGGCAGGTCTAACATTGGACTTGGTGTCTTCAGGCAGTGGAACCATCGACTTTGAGGAGTTCTTGGTGATGATGGTGCGACTGCTGAAGGAGGACCAGGCCGGCAAGAGCGAGGAGGAGCTGGCAGAGTGTTTCCGCGTGTTCGACAAGTACGTACACACACGCACACACACACACAGATACACACGCACACACACACACACAAACAGACGCACACAGGGCCACAAGTGGGTGAAACTTGACTCTGCTGCGTCTGCCACCTGTTACTGTGGTATAGAAGCATGTATACACTGGTCTCACCCATGGTTGTGTGTCTCTGTGTGTGTGTGTGTGTGTGTGTGTGTGTGTCTCTTTCTCTGTACTGTCTACATGTATTTGTGTGTGTATGTTATGCTGTTTTCTTTTATTTGTATTCTTCAGTGCCTGTTAAGCACTTTGAGCAGCTGCTGTTGTTATAAGTGTGCTATACAAATAAAGCTGACATTGACTGTGTGTGTTCCTCTGTGTGTGTGTGTGTGTGTGTGTTGCAGAAACGCAGACGGATACATCGACAGAGAGGAGTTCGCTCTGATCATCCGCAGCACTGGAGAGAGCATCACTGAAGACGAGATCGATGAACTGATGAAGGACGGAGACAAAAACTCTGACGGCATGCTGGACTTTGATGGTACACAACTACACAACCACACACAACTACACAAACACACAAATATACAGCTACCCCTGTACACAACCACACACACACAACTACTTCACTCACAACAACTACACACACAACTACACAACCACTCACACAACTACTACACTCATACAGTATCCACTACACACACTTCTACCACACAACACTGGTCTCTTTCAAGTCTCTCTCTCTGGTCTCCCTCTGGTCTCTCTCCCTGGTCTCTCTCTCTCTGGTCTCTCTCTGGTCTCTCTCTGGTTTCTCTCTCTCTGGTCTCTCTCTGGTCTGTCACTCTGGTCTCTCTCTAGTCTCTCACTCTGGTCTCTCTTTCTGATCTCTCACTGGTCTGCCACTCTGGTCTCTCTCTGGTCTCTCACTCTGGTCTCTCTCTCTGGTCTCTCTCTCTCTGGTCTCTCTCTGGTTTCTCTCTCTCTGGTCTCTCTCTGGTCTGTCACTCTGGTCTCTCTCTAGTCTCTCACTCTGGTCTCTCTTTCTGATCTCTCACTGGTCTGCCACTCTGGTCTCTCTCTGGTCTCTCACTCAGGTCTCTCTCTCTAGTCTCTCACTCCGGTCTCTCTCTCTGGTCTTTCACTCTGGTCTCTCTCTCCGGTCTCACTCTGGTCTCTCACTCTGGTCTCTCAGCTCAGTCCTCTTTTCGACTGGAGCACCTTGTTTAGAGCTCTCCTTCCTCTGTGATGTCACCAAACCAGTCAAAGAACATGATGCTGTCGCTGTATCAGACTGTGGTGAAGAGGGAGCAGCGTCTGCAGTCAGAGCTCTGGATTTACCACTCAGGATCAGGAGCTCTGAGTAGAGCCGCTGCCCTCACATTAACGTGGATGTGTTTTTCAGAATTCCTCAAGATGATGGAGAATGTGCAGTAACCGCTGACGCCCAATGGACATTCCCCTTCCTGTCATGTGACACCGACGCTCCGCCCCCTTCATGAGAAGCCCCACCCCCTCAATGAGAAGCCCCGCCCTCTTTATGATCTGTACAAAGTTTGTTTTGAGGAGAATAAATAAAGATGTTTTTTCTTCTTTTTGTCCGTACTTTGGTCATCATGGTTACAGCAGCAGTTATCCTTATCTTATCCGTAAGTAACAGACCCCGGCTTTAGAGATACAGACCCCAGCTTTAAAGATACAGACCCCAGCTTTAAAGATACAGACCCCAGCTTTAAAGTTACAAACCCCAGCTTTAAAGTAACAGATCCCAGCTTTAAAGTCACAGACCCCCAGCTTTAAAGATACAGACCCCAGCTTTAAAGTTACAAACCCCAGCTTTAAAGTAACAGATCCCAGCTTTAAAGTTACAAACCCCAGCTTTAAAGTAACAGATCCCAGCTTTAAAGTTACAAACCCCCAGCTTTAGAGATACAGACCCCAGCTAGTAAATCAGGCTCAGAGTCAAAATAAGCCTTTTTACATTTTATTAACATAACAAATAGTGAAAATATGAAATAGCATCATTCGACCATCTGGAGATTCAAGCACATGAGAATGAGGTGGGACAGGAGGAGGTGGAGGAGGTGGGACAGGAGGAGGTGGAGGAGGTGGGACAGGAGGAGGTGGAGGAGGTGGAGGAGGTGGGACAAGGGGAGCCAGAGCAGGGGTCAGAGCTCGGTTCTCCAACTCTTCTGTTTTCACTTCCTGTCTGAGCAGGAAGTTGGTTCTGGCCCAGCTGAAGTTTGAACACAGCTCGTAAACTGGGACCTCTGTGATCTCCATTGTTACCGCGGCAACTTCAGGAGCCCTCGTTGCCGAGGCAATGATAGGAGGGGGCACTGGTTGCTGGGGCGATGTCAAGAGGCAGCACTGGTTGCCGTGGCGATGTCAAGAGGCAGCACTGGTTGTTGTGGCGATGTCAAGAGGCAGCCCTGGTTGCCGTAGCGATGTCAAGAGGCAGCCCTGGTTGCCCTGGCAATGTCAGAAGGGAGCACTTGTTGCCGTGGCAACGTTAGGAGCCGTAGTTGGCCTCGTCGAAAGCCTTCCTCGCTCGCTTCAGCTCCTCGTTCATCGTCAGCAGGTCTTTGACTCGGGCGAACTTCCTCGGGTCTTTGCGGATAAGAAACACTATGTCCTGAACAGACAGAGGTCAGAGGTCAGGGAGCTCCACCCCCAATGTGACACCTCCACCCCCAATGTAAGAGCCCCCCCCCCCTCTCTCTCACCCTAACCCACACTCTTTCATCCGTTTCCCCCTCCTTCTTTCACTCACCTCCACCTGGACTCTCCCCTCTCTATAACCTCCACTTTCTCTCTCCCCTGTCTCCCCCACCCTCTCTCTCACCTCCACCTGGAGTCTCCCCTCTCTCCCCCCCACCCTTCCTCTAACCTCCACTTGCTCACTCCCCTTCAGATGCTCTCTCCCCCGCCCTCTCTCTCACCTCCACTTGCTCTCTCCCCCATCTCCCCCGCCCTCTCTCTCACCTCCACTTGCTCTCTCCCCTGTCTCCCCCGCCCTCTCTCTCACCTCCACTTGCTCTCTCCCCCGTCTCCCCCGCCCTCTCTCTCACCTCCACTTGCTCTCTCCCCTGTCTCCCCCGCCCTCTCTCTCACCTCCACTTGCTCTCTCCCCTGTCTCCCCCGCCCTCTCTCTCACCTCCACTTGCTCTCTCCCCTGTCTCCCCCGCCCTCTCTCTCACCTCCACTTGCTCTCTCCCCTGTCTCCCCCGCCCTCTCTCTCACCTCCACTTGCTCTCTCCCCCGCCCTCTCTCTCACCTCCACTTGCTCTCTCCCCTGTCTCCCCCCCCTCTCTCTCACCTCCACTTGCTCTCTCCCCCGCCCTCTCTCTCACCTCCACTTGCTCTCTCCCCCATCTCCCCCGCCCTCTCTCTCACCTCCACTTGCTCTCTCCCCCGTCTCCCCCGCCCTCTCTCTCACCTCCACTTGCTCTCTCCCCCGTCTCCCCCGCCCTCTCTCACCTCCACTTGCACTCTCCCCTGTCTCCCTGTGGACATAGCCTTGTGTGTCATCTCGGTGACGAACTCGATGACCAGGTCTTCCAGGATGTCCACAGACTCTGTGTAAGGATTCTGGTCGTCCCCAAAGCCGTACATCATGCAGCTGCAGAGAGAGAGGGTCGAGTCAGCGACTGAGAGCTCTGACGGCAGCCACTGCTCCCTCCAGGTCAGCATAGATGCTCTTACCGCAGCTCTTTGGAGAACAGCCTCTTGCGCCTCCCGTGCACAGACTCCATACCTCCATGAGTCTCCTCTGGCTCTTCCTCAAAGCCGGGCTCCTCCTCTTCCTCTGCCATCCTACAAAACACTTTCACCCTGTTAATGAGGAGTGACGTCATAACTGCACCTCCTCTGGTCCAAATCCATGTGCTCTATGTCCAGGAACATCAGAGAGATAAACCGAGAGTCTTCAGCACAGAGGCACATGTGTAAGGACTAAGGCCACATGCACTGGGGGATATTTAAAGCTGGGATCTGTCACTTTCAGACTACCACAGAACTCATGTCTCTAGTTCTGGCTCTATAAAAGTTGTTTCTGTCACTAGTTTCACATCAGAGAGAGGACCACCCTCACTCTGCTCTCAGACCAAAGTCCAATTGTGACTCACAAGGCTCTAACACAAACTCTGTAGACACTATGAGACCAAAGTTTCATTCCCCAGCTTCAAACATGTGTTATTTATGAGAATAAAGTAACAACCCCCAGCTTTAAACTACTAATATTCATACTAAATCCCACAACCGCAGTCACAGCTGATGTGTGTTAGCTCCCTGCTGATATTAGCTTGTCTCCATTCTTCCAAACCCGTGTCGTAAACATTCACACAGCCCTAGATTTAGACCATCTCAGACCCCGGGCCTCAAAGACACACTGGGGCAGAGGAGACAGAAGTGTGGGGTGATAGGAAGCCTCCATGGGCCTGAGAGTGATGAGAGAGGCGGCTGTTAGCTTCTGTTAGCTTCTGTTAGCTTCTGTTAGCTTCTGTTAGCTTCTGTTAGCTTCTGTTAGCTTCTGTTAGCTTCTGTTAGCTGCTGTTAGCTTCTGTTAGCTGCTGTTAGCTGCTGTTAGCTGCTGTTAGGTTATCTGCCACTGAGACCAGACTAATCTCACTAAATGTCTGTTTTTGGTCTTGTTCCCGGCTTCACGTCCCTCACGGCGTCAGTTCTGTCTCGCCTGAACAGGAAAACAAACACAAATATAACAGTTTTCTGCAAAAATAAACATAATCCAACCTGAAGCGGAACTGGAATCTGTATCTGGTAAACAAACACTGCCCCCTGCGGCCAACCCAAGTACTGCAGCTGCGAGGCCCACCCTTTTAACATTATTTAAAAGACAATAATGATAATACTATTGATGATTGTATGGCAAGGCAAGTTGAATTTGTACAACACAGTTCATACACGGCTCAAAGCGCTGAACAAAATAAGAAAGTAAACAAATAAAGCATGAAAATACAATCCTTCAGTTGTTCAATTCAGTTTATTCTTGTATTGCCCCAAATTACAATTCTCCAACACAGATCAGAGAATCAGTTCAGTTCAAACACAAGAAATGCAATGTCCATAAATGTTGTTGAACGTGGAGTGTCCTGGTCCTGCATCACAGAGACACAGCTCCACGTCACTTTTTAATGCGCTGTGATTATTCATGATTTCAATGTTGTGTGCGTGTGCGCATGTGTGTGTACGTGTACGCGTGTGCTCGTGTGTTTACGTGTCTTGTAGACTGTTGATAGATAATCGATGAAAAATGTGCCTCTACCACGTAGCCATGTTAACCCCGCCCCTGACTCCGCCCCTGACTCCGCCCCTGACCCCGCCCCTGACCCCGCCCCGGGCCAGACGCCTGGGCTGAAGCACTCTTCTCTGCCCTGATCCCTCCGCTTCGTTTCAAACACTTTTTTCTAGTTTTTTTACTTTTATAAACGTCCCCAGACTCGGAGTAGACTCAGAGGAGCCACAGGGGAGCCACAGGGGATCCTCTGGGGCTCTGCGGACTGAACAGCAGCACATAGACTGCGGGGATGGCGCAAAGTCAGATGAGACTAACGTGTTGAAGTCCTCAGGTGAGAGGTGACAGCTGTTACAGAGAGAGAGACACACACACACACACACACACACACACACACACACACACACACACACACACACACACACACACACACACACTGAGAGCTAGAGACACGCACTCAGAGATACACACACACGCACAGAGTGAGAGACAACAAACACACCGAGAGAGATACGAACACACACAGAGAGAGACAAACACACTCTCTCTGTTTGACACTGACATTTTGGCTCAGTTGAACAGGCATTGGCTTTGAATCCCTGTGAGTCACTATTTGACTCTTTGGGTCTGTGTTCACAGGGGTCCTCTCTGATGGGGGCATGTCCCGCTCACCACCTGTGGAGGGCGCTGCGCACTCTGGGCCTCGTGCTGCACTACTACATCTTCTCCATCGGCATCACCTTCTACAACAAGTGGCTCATGAAGGTCAGTCCCTGTGCTCCTCAGTGTCCCAGCTGGAGGCCAGTCCCTGTGCTCCTCGGAGTCCCAGCAGGAGGCCAGTCCCTGTGCTCCTCAGTGTCCCAGCTGGAGGCCAGTCCCTGTGCTCCTCGGAGTCCCAGCAGGAGGCCAGTCCCTGTGCTCCTCAGTGTCCCAGCTGGAGGCCAGTCCCTGTGCTCCTCGGAGTCCCAGCAGGAGGCCAGTCCCTGTGCTACCCGGAGTCCCAGGAGGAGGCCAGTCCCTGTGCTACCCAGAGTCCCAGGAGGAGGCCAGTCCCTGTGCTACCCAGAGTCCCAGGAGGAGGCCAGTCCCTGTGCTACCCAGAGTCCCAGCAGGAGGCCAGTCCCTGTGCTACCCAGAGTCCCAGCAGGAGGCCAGTCCCTGTGCTACCCAGAGTCCCAGCAGGAGGCCAGTCCCTGTGCTACCCAGAGTCCCAGCAGGAGGCCAGTCCCTGTGCTACCCAGAGTCCCAGCAGGAGGCCAGTCCCTGTGCTACCCAGAGTCCCAGCAGGAGGCCAGTCCCTGTGCTCCTCAGAGTCCAAGTTGCAACCATACCTGCTTTAAAGTATTTTCTTAGGATTTCAGGACAGAGACCTGATCTTTGTCCTGGTCCTGGTCCTGGTCCTGGTCCTGGTCCTGGTCCTGGTCCTGATTCTCTCTCTCTCCTTCAGGACTTCCACTTCCCGCTCTTCATGACGCTCGTGCACATGTTAATCATCTTTGTGTTGTCGGCGGCGACGCGCAGAGCCCTGCAGAGTGTGACCGGGAAACCCCGAGTGCTGCTGAGCTGGAGGGACTATGTGTGTAAGGCTGCCCCCACAGGTGAGGAGAGGTACTGCATCTACACACAGGTGAGCACAGGTACTGCAGATGTGCACTGGTACTGCTCCCACTGGTGACGAGAGGGGCGTGTCTTCAGCTGCAGTCGCAAAGTTTAGTTCTCAGACTCTTATCCAAGTGTGTTATCACAAAGAAACAATAATAATAGTTATCATTATTTAGTCCACGACACGCTGTCTTCATCTCATTAGAAAACACCATGAGTGTGAAAAAGATCCCTGTGAGTCACTGTGTGCCTCTTTGGGCTGAGAGCTGATTGGCTGAGTAAGGCTGGTCCTCTCTTTGATCTAAAGATGTGACATCACAAATACACAATGTGAAACTAGAGACAGAAGCGACTGTTTTAGAGACATGGGTTTAATACAGAGTTCTATTGGTCTGAAAGTTACAGACCCCAGCTTTAATAGATTTATGTCATATTCCAAATCATGACCTGTCAAAGTGGATATCCTAAAGACCTGGTTCCAGGTCCAAAGATGATGTCACATGTGGACCAGGACTCTGGACTCAGACCATAAACAAACAGAACATCTTATCTGCCTCTAAAGTCCATTTATGTCAGCCCCATCTAGTGGCAGAGGATGGACATGACATGACCAGAGAGAGACCAGAGAGAGACCAGAGAGAGACCAGAGAGAGACCAGAGAGAGACCAGAGAGAGACCAGAGAGAGACCAGAGAGAGACCAGAGAGAGACCAGAGAGAGACCAGAGAGAGACCAGAGAGAGACCAGAGAGAGACCAGAGAGAGACCAGAGAGAGACCAGAGAGAGACCAGAGAGAGACCAGAGAGAGACCAGAGAGGGACCCTGAGGACCAGAGTGAGAGTGTGTGTTTGAATGTTTTTTTATTTGTTTTTTAATTTTCATTCATTTAATTTTTATTTATCTTATCAATGAGGCTGAAAACCTGCATATTTAAATGTGCAGCACTTTGGAAACTTATGAATAAAGTGAATTGAATTGTTGTGTTTGTGTTGCAGCTGTTGCCACGGCGCTGGACATCGGTCTGTCCAACTGGAGCTTCCTCTTCATCACCATCAGTCTGTGCGTTTGCCTGGTCCTTCCACATGGTGGCGCTGTCCTCTATCCTTACACTGTCTGTGCTCCGCAGCTACACCATGACCAAGTCCTCCGCCGTGCTCTTCATCCTCTTCTTCTCCCTCATCTTCAGACTGGAGGAACCTGTGAGTCCCTGATCACTGCTGTCAGACTGGTCTCTCTCTGCTCTCCTGTCTCGGTCTCTGGTACTCATGGTCTCTCTCTGGTCCCCGGTCCTTGTGGTCCCTCTATGGTCTCTCTCTGGTTGCTGGTCTCTCTCTCTGGTCTCTTTCTGGTCCCTCTCCGGTCTCTCTTGGGTCCTCAGGGACCCTCTCTGGTCTCTCTCTGGTCTCTGATCCTCACGGTCTCTCTGTGGTCTCCTCAGAACCCCTTCCTGGTGGTCGTAGTCCTCCTGGTCTCTTCTGGTCTCTTCATGTTCACATATAAGTCCACTCAGTTCAACCTGGAGGGTTTCCTCATGGTGCTCCTCGCCTCGTTCCTCGGTGGGATCCGCTGGACCCTCACCCAGCTGCTCATGCAGAAGGCTGAGCTGGGTGAGTTTGCATGTTATCCCTGTGTCTGTGTTTGCATCTTCTCCCTGTGTCTGCATGTTCTCCATGTGTCTGTGTTTGCATGTTCTCCCTGTGTCTGTGTTTACATCTTCTCCCCGTGTCTGTGTTTGCATGTTCTCCCTGTGTTTGCATGTTCTCCCTGTGTCTGCATGTTCTCCCTGTGTCTGTGTTTGCATGTTTTCCCTGTGTCTTCTTTGACTCAGCCCGTTTGTGTGCAGGTCTGCAGAACCCCATCGACGCCATGTTCCACCTCCAGCCAATCATGTTCCTCGGTCTGTTCCCGCTCTTCCTCTACAACGAAGGTGTGTGTCTGTGTGTGTGTGTCTCTGCGTGAATGTGTGTTTGTATCTGTGTGTGTCTATGTGGGTGTCTGTCTGTCGCTCTTTATCTGTGTCTCTGTGTTTATGTGTGTGTCCTTTTCTCTGTGTGTGTGTGTGTCTGTATCTGTGTGTGTCCTTTTCTCTGTGTGTGTGTGTCTGTATCTGTGTGTGTCCTTTTCTCTGTGTGTGTGTGTGTGTGTCCCTCTGTTGTGTATGTGTATGTGTATGTGTGTGACTTCTCCATATAACTGGCTGTTGTCTCCCCCTCCTCTTGCAGCGGTCCCCCTGAGCTCCTCACAGCTGTTCCGACAGAGCCAGCTGTCCTCCCCCTCCTCCCCGCTCGCCCCCCTCCTCTTCCTCACCCTGGGGGGGCTTCTGGCCTTTGGTCTTGGCTTCTCCGAGTTCCTGCTGGTGTCCAAGACCTCCAGCCTCACACTGTCCATCTCCGGGATCTTCAAGGTCCTCACATTACACCTGTGTTACAGACCTCACATTACACCTGTGTTACAGACCTCACATTACACCTGTGTTACAGACCTCACATTACACCTGTGTTACAGACCTCACATTACACCTGTGTTACAGACCTCACATTACACCTGTGTTACAGACCTCACATTACACCTGTGTCACAGACCTCACATTACACCTGTGTCACAGACCTCACATTACACCTGTGTCACAGACCTCACATTACACCTGTGTCACAGACCTCACATTACACCTGTGTTACAGACCTCACATTACACCTGTGTTACAGACCTCACATTACACCTGTGTTACAGACCTCACATTACACCTGTGTCACAGACCTCACATTACACCTGTGTCACAGACCTCACATTACACCTGTGTTACAGACCTCACATTACACCTGTGTCACAGACCTCACATTACACCTGTGTTATACAGGAGCTGGTGACCCTGCTCCTGGCCTCTCACCTCCTCGGGGACTCTCTCTCTGCAGTGAACTGGCTCGGCTTCTGTGTCTGTGTCAGCGGCATCTCTCTGCATGTGGCCCTCAAGGTCTACTACAACAAAGGTACAGTATACATGTCTCTGTATACATGTCTCTGTATACATGTCTCTGTATACATGTCTCTGTATACATGTCTCTGTATACATGTCTCTGTATACATGTCTCAGTATACACGTCTGTATACATGTCTCTGTATACATGTCTCTGTATACATGTCTCTGTATACATGTCTCAGTATACATGTCTCAGTATACATGTCTCAGTATACATGTCTCAGTATACATGTCTCTGTATACATGTCTCTGTATACATGTCTCTGTATACATGTCTCTGTATACATGTCTCTGTATACATGTCTCAGTATACATGTCTCTGTATACATGTCTCAGTATACATGTCTCTGTATACATGTCTCTGTATACATGTCTCTGTATACATGTCTCTGTATACATGTCTCTGTATACATGTCTCTGTATACATGTCTCTGTATACATGTCTCAGTATACATGTCTCTGTATACATGTCTCTGTATACATGTCTCTGTATACATGTCTCTGTATACATGTCTCTGTATACACGTCTGTATACATGTCTCAGTATACATGTCTCTGTATACACGTCTCTGTTTCAGGGAAAGTCTCCGTTCGAAGTCTCAACAGTCGAGGCTCAGATATGGAGCTTCCGCTGCTGCGGAGTGAGGAGGAGGAGGAGGGAGGAGGTGAAGAAGAGGAGGTGACGTCACACTGAGGAGGAGGAGGTGTTGAAGAGGAGGTGCTAAGAGCAGCCCCAGAGGAGCCTCAGCTGGTCTTCTCTTGGTGAAGGGGCTGAAGACTTTTGCATGTGTTTGTCCTGTTTCAGAATCATGTTTTGATGAACTTTACTTTGAATCAGTTTTCACAATAAAGTCTGTTTGATCTTTTATCCATTGACTGTAAATATAAACGGACGTAGTCTCACCTATCTCCGCCGTTCTAACTAATGTGCCACAACTTCCACGGTCTATGGGCAGTTTCAAGATGGCTGCGGGGGCTGGGAAATGTGAGCATGGGTCAGCCGGTCAGAAGAGGCTACAGGTTAGCATTGGCTAATTCTTATTCCGGGTCCACCCCCATTGGGATCCGTCCCCACTGCTTTTATCTCAGGGGTCCCCAAACTTTTTTCCAGAGAGGGCCACATAACTTTTCCCTTCTTGGATAGGGGCCGGGTCAGTTTGTGACAGAAAGTTACTAACTAATAGTTAATAATGAAAAAAGTTCATAACAAAGGAACTTTTTATTGCAAAAGTCCAACTTTATTATCAAATACACACATGAGTGTGTTCACAGTAAAGTGTCAAAGTATCTGGACTTTAAAAGGTTTTAACTTAAAAACTAACATTACTATCATAGATTAGAAAAAAAGATTTCAAACAGACGCAATAAGAGATAGTGGAAAAAAACCAAAGGAAAGATTGACAAATATATTTTTGGCGTCATTTTAAACGACAAAACAGCCTCTGATTGGACCATTCTACTGTGACTCAGTGACATAGAAAATAAAATGTCCTTAGTCTGAAAAAGCGGCAGATGAACTCCCACAAGATTAACATGGTTAACACAACATCAGGAAATCACTTGATTTAAAACGGAATTGTTAAAAAATAAGTACATAAAAATTAAATGACCCCTGAAAAATGTTTAACAGACGTGATGGTTTCCGTCCTCTTTTCTCTAAAAATTAAACTTGAGAAAAAGAAAAAATCTGGTCTGGTTTCACATTTAATTGGTTGACAATATGAAATTATCACTTTGTTTCTCTGTGTAAAAAAAAAAAAATAGAATCTCTCAAACAAACTTCTGCAAAGTTCATTCCGTCAAATCATCATGTCCATAACATACGTCCGTTAAATAAAATAAACAGGGCCGCTATAGGAAACTTGTCTAATGTATAAAACAGTTATGTTCTAGCAACTTCTAATGGACAGAGGAGGTGCTGGATACATGAAAAACGTTAAATATCTTTGAATTATTAAAATCTAAGTTTTGACCTTTTGTCACACTTTTGTGCCCTTTAGTGTGAACAAGTCCATATATGAAAATACTCTCTGGTATTGTTCAGGGGGCCGGAGCAAATGTAGAGGCGGGCCGCGGGCCGTAGTTTGGGGACCACTGATTTATCTGATCCTTTAGCAGTGACCGACTGTGGCGCCCTCTGGTGGAGGAGAGGCACTACTGCACCTGTAACATTAAAGCTGGATCTACAGCCTCAGTCCTGGGTCTACAGCCTCAGTCCTGGGTCTACAGCCTCAGTCCTGGATCTACAGCCACAGTCCTGGATCTACAGCCTCAGTCCTGGGTCTACAGTCTCAGTCCTGGATCTACAGCCTCAGTCCTGGGTCTACAGCCTCAGTCCTGGGTCTACAGCCTCAGTCCTGGATCTACAGCCTCAGTCCTGGATCTACAGCCTCAGTCCTGGGTCTACAGTCTCAGTTCTGGATCTACAGCCTCAGTCCTGGGTCTACAGCCTCAGTCCTGGATCTACAGCCTCAGTCCTGGGTCTACAGCCTCAGTCCTGGGTCTACAGCCTCAATCCTGGGTCTACAGCCTCAATCCTGGGTCTACAGCCTCAGTTCTGGATCTACAGCCTCAGGGCTCATTCTTACACTAAATATGATGACTAAAGTTATGTGTCGTAGCTTTTTGATGCTGGTGTTTTCTTGGTAAAATGCTGATATCTGATATTCGTGTCCAGACAGAGATTTTCTTCTGTTTCACTGACACTACACAAAAACATGACCAGGGAGAGGGAGACCAGAAAGAGAGCAAGAGAGAGACCAGAGAAAGTCCAGAGAGCGAGAGAGAGGAAGACCAGAAAGAGATTATGGTAAATGCCAAAACTCAAATTCTACTTTAAGTTTAGAGATAATTTTTAGAACGATCCACATGAAGTAGAGAAAAGGGACCTCCCCCTGAGGTTGAGGGGGGTGGGTGAGGGAGGAGGGGGCGAGGGGACGGTCTGACCCGGGAGCCGCTTCCTCAGTGTGAGAGTCTGCAGTTCAGCGAGTGTTTGGGAATGCTCCACAGCCTCAGGTGAGTCAGCTGGGGTCTGTATCTTTAAAGCTGGTTCTGTCACTTTAAAGCTGGGGTTTGTAACTTTAAAGCTGGGGTCTGTATCTTTAAAGCTGGGGTTTGTAACTTTAAAGCTGGGGTCTGTAACTTTAAAGCTGGGGTCTGTAACTTTCAGACCAATAGAACTCTGTATTAAACCCATGTCTCTAAAACAGTCGCTTCTGTCTCTAGTTTCACATCATGTATTTGTGATGTCACATCTTTAGATCAAAGAGAGGACCACCCTCACTCAGCCAATCAGCTCTCAGCCCAAAGAGGCAGATAGTGACTCACAGGGATCTTTCTTACACAGAAAATGAAGACTGCATGTTGACTCTTTCTGTTGGATAAATCATATTCATGAGACAAAGTTACATCCCCCAGCTTTAATCATAAACGATATGGCTCTGTTCAGTCTGGTCTGCAGTATTTGGGCAGAAGCTTTTATCACCAACAGACCCAGGACTGAGGCTGTAAACCCAGGACTGAGGCTGTAGATCCATCCAGGACCTGAGTCTGTAGATCCAGGACCAAGTCTGTAGACCCAGGACCGAGTCTGTAGACCCAGGACCGAGTCTGTAGACCCAGGACCGAGGCTGTAGACCCAGGACTGAGGCTGTAGACCCAGGACTGAGGCTGTAAACCCAGGACTGAGGCTGTAGACCCAGGACCGAGGCTGTAGATCCAGGACCGAGGCTGTAGATCCATCCAGGACCTGAG